AAAAAAAAAAAAAAAAAAAAAAAAAAAAAAAAAAAAAAAAAAAAAAAAAAAAAAAAGGGCCCGGTGCCGAAAAAAAAAAAAAAAAAAAAAACATTTGGTGTATTTCCTTCCTTCCATGACAGTAATACCTTGCTACCCTTCAGGTGTCTGCCCGGCCCATTGCCCCTTTTCTTCACGCTGTCCCCAATCATGCATCTACCAGGATGCACCCCTGCAGTCAGGTGGACCAAACGACCTCTGCTCCTTGTTGAAAAGGAAACAACAGGCCCTGGATGGAGTCACTTGTGGTCCCATGGCAGCAGACCAACACTTGATGCCTAAGCTAATTACAGTTTCAACCTTCCCCAGGAATGTGATTCCAGCTAACCTGGGATTTCCTGGTCAGTCCTGGGAAATCTGTGGACAGACCCTTCCGTTCCCTTCAGGAGGGTGGCCTTGCCTAAAACAATGCATCTTTGCTAATAATTTCATTTCTTTTCTGCTCCCTTTCTGCCTTTAAAAACCTTTCCTTTTCTGCAGCTCAACAAAGTTCCTCTTCACTTGCTAGATGGGATGCTGTCCGATTCATGAATCGTTCAATAAAGCCAATTAGAGCTTTAAGATTTACTCAGTTTTTGTTATTTAACAGGTTTGGTGGCAGCAGAGGGACTGAAGGAGACTTCTGATGGCTTCGGGGACAATGAAAAACACAGGTGATGTACCCATGAGCCCCTTTTTGAATTCACTGTCTTTCTTGCCCTTTCCAAGGGCTGTGGGTAATAAGTTCGCTCTTGGTTCTGAACTTTCTTTGCATCGAGCTCCCGATCTATTTGGCTTACAGGGCAGGTCAGCTTATGCTGGCAGATGGTTCTGCTCAGAGCCAACTGAGCTAAGCCCTTAGCCTTTCAGACAATTCCCAGGTTTTAAACAGAAAAAACCCAGCCCTAGGGCTTCCCTGGTGGCACAGTGGTTGAGAGTCCGCCTGCCGATGCAGGGGACACGGGTCGTGCCCCGGTCCGGGAGGATCCCACATGCCACGGAGCGGCTGGGCCCGTGAGCCATGGCCGCTGAGCCTGCGCGTCCGGAGCCTGTGCTCTGCAACGGGAGAGGCCACAACAGTGAGAGGCCCGCATACCGCAAAAAAAACAAAAACAAAAACAAAACCCCAGCCCTTGATTCTGTTCATATAGAGCCCCCAGGCCACAGCCTGCACTCGTTGAGTCCCCACCATTGGTTCAATCCTTTCCCCAGGCCAAGATTCCACAGAAATTGTTGGGATGCATAGGCCTTCTCTTAGCCAAGTCACAGTAGCATCTCTTCGTCACTGCTGGTGTGTCAAAGTGCACCTTTGTCTCGTTTTATGTAAATAAAGGCTATTGCTAGCGGGGATCTCAGAGGCCAAAAAGCTGCAAAAATTGGTGGCTGCAGGTTAAGCATATAAAGGCTGTTAGAGGGATCGACAGCTAAATCAAAGACTCCAGTGTTGAGACAAGTTGACCACGGAACAGGTTAGATTGACAGTAGGTAACCCGCCAACCTCAGGAAAACTTGCGTGCAACA